TTTAATGACAACTACTCAATAAGTCAAGTTGTCATTAGCATGACTTTTAAATAAATTATCAAGGTAAGATTTTCTATGAGATGAGTTTACAATTTGTGTAATAGGCATCTCGTTAACATTTTCCTTTTTATATATTCTCCTTGTTTATGCCTGTCCAATTAAAAAGAAAAAAAGAAAAAAAAAAGAAAGGAGAATGCATTAGCATCATTAAAGACGTTTTCATCGAGAGATAAGATATGGTCCATTAGCCGTGCCTAGACATTCACAATGGGATGACTAAAAAAATATATTAAGATATATATTATATGACAAAAAGTAATAAAAATGGGGTTTAAAAATATTTTTTAAGATGTGTAAAGAGTTTGTTAATTTTAGAGAGTGAGTAGTGGTGCAATGGATATGTTAAGGGGTGTGTTAAGGTGTATGTTAAAAATATATATATATATATATATGTGTGTGCATATAATAAATAAAATAAATAAATAATTTAGTTTAATAAAAAATTTCAAGCCTAAAATTAAATTTTAAGTCCAAAAAAAAAATCCCAACAAGTTGAAAAAAAAAAAAAAATTGCCGTTGACTGGTCAACCGGCCAGACATCCGGCCGGTCAACCTGTAAGACCAAAAAACAAATTAATAGTTCTCTCATTCGCTAGCTAAAAGCCTCGCTGCAGTTAACAAACAAACTAACAACTGACACTAATAACTGACATTAATACATCCCTTCACAGCTCCATTGGAGCATCATTTGAGTCATTCAATAGCTAAAATATTAACAACTGACACTAACACGTCCCTTAACAGCTCCATTGTGGATGCTCTAAGTTTGGTAGAAAATAAAATAAATTTTTTAAAATAGATTGAAATCTCCACCTGCTAAGTTTAATCCAATTAGTAAATCTATTAAGTTGTTTGAGCCAAGTATTTTGGATAGAGTTTAGACTTAAGATTTCTGAATCTAATCTCACTGTCCTATAAAAAAAAAAACTAGTGAACTTAGGGGATGTTTAAGATGATTTAAATAAATATATTTTTTTGACTTTTTATAAAAAAATATGAAATATAAATTGACTTTAAAATGATGTGATCGAGAATTGATATGATCCAAATAAAATAATTGTAACTTAAATAAAATAATATATACTATTTTAACACATGTCAAACACTCTCTTAGTTCACAAACAAATTTAAATACTATTTTTATAGTCAATCTTATCTACACACCAAATGCAAGTGTTTTTGAAATTTCATTTGATCTTAAGATGGGATTTAAGTAATCATCATATCTATTTTCACCTCAAATCCACCACCTCTACCTAACCATTTAACAAATCCATATGTTCATATCCTTGTCTATGTTAATGTAAATTTGTCCTGGTGTTCAAACCTTCTTATGTCTTAACTTCTTTTTGTCAAATAGTCGGTTGTTTAGAAAGACAAAAACAAGATAAGATCTGACAAGACAATATTATTAAAAAAAAATTATAAATCAATAAAATAGTCATAAAATTACTATGAATGAAATATTTGTTGGAAATGGTTAATTTTTTCCTAAGTTAGGTCTATTTTTAGGTGGGCCCCGAGTGTCGATTAACTCGGGTCAAAGTGGTAACGCGTTCTATGCCGCGTTGTGATTCACGTGGTATATTTGGTTGCTCAAAACCATTACCGAGTGAATGGGAAATTGAAGCCTAAGTGTGCTCCATGAAAAATGGAGTTTTGGTGGAAATCCCTTAAGGTTGTAAATTGGCTTATCCCACATTGATTTGGTGGGAGGTTTTGAAAGGGTTTATAAGGCTTAGGGTGAGATACTTGGGGTGTGCCCCAAGGGGTACCCAAGTGTTTTAGAGGGAGAGGTTATGGGCAAAATGGGCTAGACCCATTGGACCCAAAAAAACACCACACGCGCGCCGCCGCCGCCGGTCGGGCGGGCTGGGCTGGGCTTGTGCGTGGTTGGGTTGGGCCAAAAACATTTGAATTTAATTTTATTTTTTATTAAAATAAAATCCAGAATTCAAATTAAATTGGTTTAGATTTTTTGTTCATCCAAACAGGGCCCTTCCCGTTTTCAAACAGAAATAAACTGTTTTGGAATTAGTGCACACCCAAACAGGGCCCTTCCCGTAATTGCTATCTGTTTGAATTGTTGAATCTGTTTGAAATTCAAAACCAACAGGTATCATACCTGTTCAATTCAAAACCAAGAGCCACATACCTGTTCAATTCAAAACCAAGAGCCACATACCTGTTCAATTCAAAACCAAGAGCCACATACCTGTTCAATTCAAAACCAAGAGCCACATACCTGTTCAATTCAAAACCAAGAGCCACATACCTGTTCAATTCAAAACCAAGAGCCACATACCTGTTCAATTCAAAACCAAGAGCCACATACCTGTTCAATTCAAAACCAAGAGCCACATACCTGTTCAATTCAAAACCAAGAGCCACATACCTGTTCAATTCAAAACCAAGAGCCACATACCTGTTCAATTCAAAACCAAGAGCCACATACCTGTTCAATTCAAAACCAAGAGCCACATACCTGTTCAATTCAAAACCAAGAGCCACATACCTGTTCAATTCAAAACCAAGAGCCACATACCTGTTCAATTCAAAACCTTTTTATTTCGAGTTTGATTTTTGTAATCAAACATATTCTCTCATTTTCTCTATTTCTTTTATTCTTGTTGTTGTTTTGTACACAACAGAATTAAAACCTTTTAAATACGGTGAAGATTGTCCTACAATATTTTGTCGTAGAATTATGATAGATATAACTTGTACCAAATATAAGATTGGATTTGTACCATAAATACAAAAAAAATTATAGGATTATAAAAGAATAATGCTAATTGATATACTAATTAGTGTACCAATTGATGATACGTCATAATTTAAGAAGTTTTTAGAATTTGTTCAAGGTTCCCGTGCCTTGCACATATTGTCCGCTTTGGCATTCCGACCTCACGCCGACCGCACGATTTTGTTCCTCCCAGTGGGGAGAAAAGGCCTATGCAAGGTAAGAGGAGTCAGCTTGCTTATAAGGTGGGAAAGTAGTCCCTCTCAGACCGATATGGGATTTTCAGCACATTAGCCACCAGCCGCGCTGGCTCCGGTCACCCCGTAGGGAGTTCTGACAGACGGCGTCAAATAAAACCACCGGTCCCCGTGCCTTGCACATATTGTCCGCTTTGGCATTTCGACCGCACGGTTTTGTTCCTCTTCCACTGGGGAAAAAGGCCTATGCAAGATAAGAGGAGTCAGACTGCTTATAAGGTGGGAAAGTACTCCCTCACAGACTGATGTGAGATTTCCCGCACAATATATAACAACACTAATTATAAAAATAAAATTATTTCTCGACTGTTTTCAACTTTCCCTCAATTGCGAGGAACAGAAAGGTCTACCAACTGATCTGTGCACCCACATGGATATACACGGGTTTGACTTGTGAAGAAGGGAAAGGACTGTGACATTTCTAAATGAAGATAATTAGGGCACTGTAGCATAGCCCTAGAGTAATTGACAAAACATATCTTGATCAAACAAAATGATGGGGTCAGCATACGCCACCCATACCCCCTTTTGAGTGGAGGCCAGTGGTGGTTTCTTGCTGGGTGGTCCCTCACAACCGACAACCCTAATTATTATTTTACTCATCTCAACTTATTAGCAGGAGAAAATAACAAAAATATTAGGGATTTTAAAATTTTTATTAAAGGTCTCGTATAGTTATGAATTTCATATTTATGTAGGATTAATTTTATATAAGATATTTAGTAAAAAATTTAGTATTTTTAACACTACTCAAAAAATAATGCATGCAAATCATAGTTATTAATGAAGATTCAATAATAAAAGAGTAATACCAACATTCTAAAAATTTTATCAAAGTTTCTATCAAATGTTATATATGAGTGTGGAACTCACACAATATGAGTCACATATGAGTCTTCCATCCATGTGACTTATTTGATAGAATTTTTAAAATCTTTAACATTTTTTTAATAAAAATATATATACACAATTTTCATACTTTACATATTTTTATATAAGTTTATACTTTTTTTTATATATACATACATATATTTCAAAATAAATAATTTGTTAAGTTGAAAAATAAAAAAATGATGGTGATTTATCTCCTTATTTGGTTATATTGGAAATAAAAGGAAAGATAATTATTTATATTCTATTCATTCTTGTTACTACATAAAAATAAATCTTACAAATTATATCACCAAAATAATCTTTTATTATTTATTTATTTATTTAATTTAATTGTCAAATAAATCAAAATTTCTATATTTATTGTCATTTATCTTCTCTTCAATAATCTAAGTGGTTGCTTGACATGTATTAAAATAACACATACTATCTTAGCATATTATCTTATTTAAGTAACAATCATTTTATTTAAATTATATCACCTCTCTATCACATCACTTCAAATTCACCTCATATTTTATATTTTTTTTATAAAAAATTTAAAAATATATTAATCTAACCCTTTCCAAATAAATAAGTAATGGCCAAAAGAAATCGAAAAATAATTTCACTCTAAATCACATTCAAATGGAGTGTGATTACTGACAATAAATGGTTAAAATTTTCTTTCAGATTAGACTTAAAGCGCACTAATTACTGACATATACGAGGGAAGATTACTACTTAATTTTGACATAAAAATGTTTTTTTAAAGTACCTTTTGTATTTTTTTTTTTGAAGGGTAAAACGCTTTCAATTATTCACCCAAAAAAAAAAAAAAAAAAAAAACGTTTTCAATTGTTTGGACCAAAAAATACGCACTTTTGAGAAAGTGAAAAATTGAAGTTTCGCCGTCTCCACCACCCCACCTCCCTATTACGTTAGTTTCAAAATTGTAACTAAATATAAAAAAATATCTTTATAAAAAAATTCGTAAACTATTTCCCAAAACAACCAGAATGTTCACATACTCTGTAAGAAAAATAATAAATGAATAAATAAGACACATATAAAAAGAATACAACCCTTGTAAATTTCCATGTACCAAAGATTATACATTCGACCACCAACCATATCTATATCTCTATGTCTATTAATAAGAGGAGGAGACAAATAAAAACTATCATACAAAGAACGAACACCAATGGAAATAAAAAAGGAGAAAAAGAAAAAAAAATAAACAAAAAAAAGGAACCACAAATTTGGAAACAGAAGAGAAAGAAATGAATTGAAACTTGGAAGAAGCTGTCATTGCCGGGTTCTTTGTAACCTAGGTCCAATCATTTTGAGCTCAAACCTCTTCACGGTTCCGGCAACACCACTCATTGTGGTGTCCAAAACATAAGGAGTTTCATCAATTGTGATATTTATGTCATTGATCAACTGCCTGCAAGGCTCCTTCCTCTGGGCTATGGTGCCATGATAATGGAAGTACTTAATCCGACCCTCCGTCTTGTGTGTTGTGTTCCCTGCCACATTCTGTGACATGTGGACCCCTGTGGCATACACATTCCGCGGCTGCACTGCATACTTGCGATCCCTCCTTATCCCTTTCTTCCCGTCCCTGTATAATAGCTTCTCAAATCCCCACTTCCTGTGCATTGTACACCACATTAGGCCAAAAGAACATTTTGTGATCGAGGTGCGGTGACTCATTTTTTTGGGATAAAAAAAGATTATGTAAATATTTACTCGGAATCTCACTTTTCAGATTCCATTGTGAAATACAAATTATTATTATTATTTTTTTGGTTGAAGAATTCGCCATGATGTAGGTGATCCATGCATAATATCATGAAAAATGGATTATATCTGATCTATGCATAGTATATGTAATAGGTATGAGAAATTATCTACTACATCTATAAGGTTCACAACCAAGTTCAATTGCCAAAGTACCAAGTTTGTTGAAGAAGTATCAATCAATGATCAATCATTTAAAAAGCAAAGCTACCAACCATTTCAAAACGGTTCAATTCGATTCCACATGGCATTCAAGATCAAGCAAGTGAGTAAATGTGGCCAAGCTGAGTTAGAAAACCATAACTTACACCTCGTTACACTACGTCTATAAGATTCAACAACCAACTTCAATTGCCAAATCATTGAGTTAGTTGAAGTATCAATCAATGGTCAATCCATGTTACACTTAAAATAAAATACAAACCTACCAACCATTTCAAGCTGGTTCAATTCGATTCCAAAGCATTGAAGATCAAGCAAATGAGTGGATAACAGATGAGACCGAGCAGCGTTAGAAAACAATTTCCCATTAATTAGATTTATTTAGAATGCATATCACTAGCTAAGGTTGGTTGGAAAGCGAGGTGTATGAAAATTTATTTGGATTCCATCCGCCAATCAATTTTGAAAGCGACATCCTTGGAATACTTATTTGGAACCCCCTAAAATCATTGAGTCCCAATAATCATTCTATATCTTGCATCAACATGAATCATTAGAGGTCACAAAACTATCATCATTCCAACAATTTGTTCAACACAATACTTTGAGGAAATCATAATTCTGGTGACAAAATGAATAGCCAAATTCAAAGTAGTAAGTTAGAACCACTCTAGGTAAAATAATAATAGGAAACCCTTAGGAAGGTCTAAATCATGAATAACAAACAAACCAATACAAAACAAGTTCTAACACACCCAACCTCCACTAGGCCCAAATAAAATGAAACATGAGGAAGAATTTGAACTAATAACACCATGGAAAGGAGGCAATAAATACAAACATGTCCACACCACTTGAATATAAGAAAATATTCAACATCATAATATATTTTTGAGCTTAATTTCGACATCAAATATAAAACTTTAAAATCACTCAAACCACCACTATATTGTAATGTGCACCTGTCACCCTCAATTCCATGAAGGCAATTATGGGTTCAGATACCGTCAACAGACAGCTCAATACCTTACCTCCCCACATGCAATGTTAAGAAATAATAATTATTATAATAACGCTACAATATTTTTCTAGGTATTTTTGTGTCTGAAGTTCTTGGTTAGTCCACACACTTCTTCCGGATATTTTTCTGTGGGGATTCTTGACCACCGGCATTACTTTAGTAATTAAGACATGGGTCAATCTTAACATTAAATTATGCATTTATTAACATTTGGCCAGCTAATTGAGTCCAACTTCAAAATTAAACTCCAATTTTTGGTGATATTTGAGTCCAATTCTCTCATTTGGATCCTAAAACTAAAAATCATCCAAATCCTACTCTATCAAAAGGAATTACCTAGATTTTTTGATGATCTTTCGTGTTCTTACAATGTCAAAATGTCAAAATTAAACAATCAAATTGGCAATAGTAAACAAGTAAATTGCGAAAATAAAAAACAGAGCATTTACCGGTAAGTTTTCCGGGCATCGTCAGAGTAGCAGAGCTTGCTGGACATAGTCATCTGTTCAATGGTGAATTGGGTAAAATCCAAGAGCGAATCTGTAACAGATTTGATAGTACTCTTGGGAGGAACAAAAATGTACTCATCAACATCAAAAAAGAACATCCATTTCGCATCAAATCGATATCTATGCAAACAATCATTGACTACGAGAAACTGGTTATGGTAGTACCCATCAAACCTCTCTTGCTCTCTGATATCGTGCAAGGTCACATAACCCTTCTCCATCCATGGCTTCAAAACCTCCATAACCTCCGGGTGAGCCCCACCAGCGTCGTGAATCACGAAATGAGACCTCTCACCGAACAGCCTCACATGGTAGGCCAGCCATTCTCGAATTCTCTGTGGACTCAAGTTTCCATACAAGGACGACCCACAATACAGGTAATCGTACTTAGGCCGTGATGTGAAGATAGATGGGTTTAAGCTTCCGGGTGATTCGGATAATGCTTCAATGGTGTCGGTGACGTTGGAGTTTCGATCTCCGCCGCCGTTGGTGGAGGCGTGGAGGAGTAATTTTCCGCCGGAGCCGCCGTGGCCGACGGAGGAAGGGAAGGTGCAGTTGACTACGACGACTGTGTAGACGCGGCCGTAGCCCCAATCAGTGAGGATTTTGTGGCCGACGGTGGTGGTGGTGGTGGAGGTAGTGGTGTTGTGGGGGACCCATTCGCATTGGTAGGAAGGTTTGCCGAAGACATGGAGGGGCTTGGAAGATAAACCCATGACGGCAAAGGTGTTGAGTCCGCCTCTGTAAGCGCTCATCAGGACGAAGTTGTAGGCGGCGGCGCCGTAGGGGTTGAAGTTGCGCTTGATGATTCCGTTCTCGACCACCTCATCCTGGTGGAAAGACGGCGGAGATGGGAGGACGGGGAGTGGTTGGGTGGAGTTGGAGATGGAGGTGGTGGTGGAGACATTGGAGACGCAGTTGCGGAGATCGGAGGGTGAGAAAGAGAAGCGAGAAGGGAGGAATTGAAGAACAGTGGCTAATGAACAGACGAAGAGGAGAGCTGAGATTAGGAATTTGAGCTCTGCAACACAGTTCCAAGCTAACCCAACAAACATCTTCTTCTCTTTCTCTTTCGCCATTGTTGAAGCTTTTTAGAGCTAGTTCCACAGAGAGAGAGAGAGAGAGACAGCAGATTCTTCACAAGAAAGTTGAGGAACAGTGCACAAGCACCAGAACCCGAACCAGAACACCTCTCTCTCTCTCTCTCTCTCTTCTCTGTTTCTTTTTATGTGGCTGGCTTTAATTTAGTTAATTAATTTTGTGTGATAAAGATTAGGAACTACGAAGTTATATATATATATATATGGGGATATGTAAATTTAAGGAAGATTCTTGTTACTTTATTTATTTTACAAAAATGATTGGTGGCCCTAAAAAATTTGCCCCTAATGCCTCTAATTTCTAATTTTGGAAACTGTTTTTTTTTTTCTTTCTTTTTTCCTTTTTTTTTTCTTTTTTTTTTACCTAAAATGGCATTTTTTTTTTTTTTTACCTTAAACGGAATTTCGGGGCATTCGAGCCCCGAAACGTCGGGCCCTCAATCACTGCGCTTTATTTTAACAAAAATGATTGGTGGCCCTAAAAAATTTGCCCCTAATGCCCCTAATTTCTAATTTTGGAAACTGTTTTTTTTTTTTTCTTTTTTCCTTTTTTTTTTTTTTTTTTTACCTTAAACGGAATTTCGGGGCATTCGAGCCCCGAAAACGTCGGGCCCTCAATCACTGCGCTTATTTTAATATCAACATTTATATTTTTAATTTTTTAATGTGCATGAAAAAACGTGTCATGTTTTTTTTAGATATTAAAAAAAAATTAATGTACAATTATCAATGCGACGGTTACTTTAAAAATTATTACCAAAATATAAAAGAAAAATGGCTAAGACCTTCGGTGGGGGTCACTGGGGCCGTCCTGATTGGCTCAAATTTATTTATTTATTAAGACTTTAGTCATGGGTAGTGTGCCATGTAGCACTGGAGTGCTGGGTGCTCAGTCACGGGGGTCTCCAACATTATTAAATATAAAATATTTCTTTTTATCCTAAAAATATTATTTTAGAGAATTTAAAGTGCTGTTTATAATAATCTAAATAAATATATTTTTGTAGTTTTTATAAAAAAGATGTATAGAAAAATAAAGAGATAATGTGACCTAAAAAAAATAAAAAGATAAAAAAAATACTTATAGAGCACGCTCTAAACATACTCTAAAGATCTGTTTGATTTAGTTTTTGAATTATGATTTGAATGTAGAATTGTATTTTGAGTTTTAAAATTTTAAATCATGATTTGAAAACAATTTTAAGATCATTTGTAATTTTTTTTGATTGATTAATATATAGAATATGAGAGGACATGCGAGAAGAGAGAAGAGATGAGAGAAAAAAAAGTGATTGATTGATTAATAATAATAATAATAAAAAAGAATAATTTTGAAAATAATTTTGAATTGTATTTTAAAAATATATTTAATTAATATGTTTTATCGAAATCATGATTTAAAAATTAGTTTTGAAAAGTAAATCAAATGCTACTTAATTTTTTTTGATATTAACTTTTCAAAACTATCTTTTGATTTAAAATTAAAATACTATAATTTTTTTTTAAAATATCAATTGTTACAAGTATACTTTTTGCATATATCAATATTAATAAATTTAAAAGGGCAAAATAAGAAATTCATATTATTTTAGTCATTAATTTTTGAAAATAATAAGAAATAAAATAATAAATTAACATTTTAAGACAGTGAGTACAAAAGATGTAAATTAACATTTTTATTTTTTTAAAATTAATAAATTAACTTTTTAACCAATTCTCAAATGAAACCTATGTCAAATTATTTTGATGCATTAATGTGAGGCAAACCCAAATTTAACAATTGCTGAAACAGTAAGATGCAATCCTAACGCTGTGTTTGGTTGGGGGATTTGGGAAGGGAAATGGAAAGGGAAATGGAAATGAAAGGAAAAGAAGAAAGAATTAATAGAATTCCAAATCCCAACTATGTTTGGTTGTGTTGGTTATAAAATAGAATTGATGTCCTAAAAGGTCTCCTATTTCTTTATTTATTTCTCACCCCCTTTCTTTTCCCATATATTTTTTATTATAACCAAACATAAATAGGATTACATTTCTCATTCCTTTTCCAAATCCCACCCCAAAAACCCCAACCAAACACAGCATAAAAGTTTTGTCCACAATTTTACTCAAAATTACCGTATAATCACATACAAGGTAACTTTTTACTCATGGGTAAATAGATTAATTATTGCTAAAATTTAACGAACTTTCTCTATCTCTCTATTGACTCCTGCTGTATTTAGATAATAAATTTAAATATAAATTTAAAAATAAAAATATGAATAAAATATAAGTTATTTCTTTATTAATTTTTATAAAATTATATTTAAATTCATAATTATAACACATAGTTAGGGAATGGAGTATATGAATTGGGAAAAGAAATGTAATAAAAGGGTTTTATAAACAACAATAATAGCTGTTGATTAACTGGGCCGAAACCGTGTTCAGTGTGAGTGCTATATTGGTATTTTGACTATTGGTTCATGTTGTTGTATGTTTTCTACTTGGGTTGTTCCTTTGCTTTTTGGATATTTCATTATTCTTCACATATTCTTCAAATTCTTCATTACTCACCCAATATTTTTATTTACTTTTCAATTATACTCCTCCTTTGGACCCTTTGCCTTTTCTAGCCTCTAGGTCGTATTGCAACCTTTTTATTTTTTATTTTTTAAAAATTCTTATTGAAGGAAAAAAAATAAAAATAAAGTAAAGTGAATGAAGATAAAGTTGTTTCTTTTATTTTTCCTTGCTTCATAAATCTAAGATCCTAACATTAAGGGTGTGTTTGATTTGACGGACTGAATAAGGGGATATTAGAATTCATCGGACTTGAATCTTAGGACTGTGAATCTCTCGAACTATTTGGTTGGATTGGATGTGTATCCCGTGTTTATTTTTTCATGAGATTAGATGTCTAGAAAAGATTATTTTTAATGAATCTAATATTTAATTGGACGGACTAAGTAAGATAAATGAACAAAGGGCTATTTTACCCTTTTTCAATTATTTACTAAATAATGGAAATATTAAACATATCTTTAATATTTTAATTATTTTTAGCCAGATTAAATAAAATATTATTTTATTTTATTTTTTGCACAATTAAAAAAATTTATTTTTTAAAAATTAAATAAATAAAATATCAATAAAAATATATGTTATTTTTTAATTAAAATTTTAAATAAATTTATTTTTAATAATAATAATAATTAAACAAAGAAATTAAATAAAACATCTATTAAAATTTAAATAATGAAATTAAATAAAATATAAACAAAATTTTAAAATAAAACATCAATAAAATATCTATAAAAAATTAAATAAATAAAACATCAATAAAAATTTAAATAAAATTATTTTATTTTTAAATTGAGACATTTAAATTTTATTGAATTTTACTAAATATAATACATAATTAAATAGTAAAAGATCAAAATGGTCATTTCGCCACCTAATCCCAACAGTGGATAGCTCCCCGAAAATTGTCCCCCTTCCCGAGGATACAATAGTCCCCCATATGAGGGATAAGGAGTCCGGCTGGACTCCATGTCCGGTGGACTAAAAAAAAACGAACACCGGATTGAATGTTTTTCCCAAATTACAATCCGCATAGTAAATAGTCTCCCCCTTATCCATCCAATCAAACACACTGTGTGTTTGTTTGGACAGACTGGATAAGGAGGATTGTAATCCATCGGACTGTTAGTCCTGGGATACATTGTTCCCGGACTATTTGATTGGACTGAATTTGTATCTTATGTTTATTTAGTCATGGGATTGGATGTCTGGATTGAATTATTTTTAGTGAATCCAATATTTGGTTGGACAGACTGGATAAGAATAAATGTTCAAAAGATTATTTTACCCTTGTAATTTATAATTTTTATTTACTATATAATTTTAAATTTGTAATTTATAATTTATAATTTAACAACACTAAATTTTTTTAATTTATAAGGCCATAATTTTTAACTAAAAAAATAATTTTATTTAACATATAAATTTAATTTTTTAACAACACTAAAAAAATTATAAGGCCATAATTTTTAATTTATTATTTTTAATTAAATTAAATTTATAACTTATAATTTATATTTTTATTTAATATATAATTTTAAATTAATAACACTAAAAAAATAATTTATGAACGTTCAAAAAACTATTTTATCATTTTCTAATTGTTTATTAAGTAATAGCGTGAAGGTGAAATAGACATTTCACATATTAATCTCATGATATACCAATTCCATGAAAATAATCTCACCCTCCCCTTACGATACAATAATCCCTCATATGAGAGATTAAAAGTCCGAAGGGACTATTAATTCGGAATAAAAAAATTGAACCAAATAATAAAAGGAAAATTACAAACACCCCCCTTGAGGTTTGGTAAAAATACAGATTTTCCCCTGAGGTTTGAGAAATTACAAATTACCATTGAGGGTCAAATTTTCATAACAAATTAGGGGAAATTAGGAGGGAATCTATATGAAAATATAAACCTCAGGGGCGGGATGTAATTTCTCAAACTTTAGGAGAAAATCTGTATTTTCACCAAATCTCGAAGGGGCGTTTATAATTTGCCCAATAATAAACTACTAGTCCGAATGGACTAATAGTTAAATCCGATAGAATAATCTTTCAAAACACACACCCTTAAGAGTTCATTTATTTAGATGCCAAAAGGATTTATATTCTTATTTGCTTCTCCATTGTACTCATCCTTTGGACATTTTGCCTTTTTTAGCCTCTAGGTCATATTGCAACCTTTTGTTTGTTTTTAAATAAATTTTTGTACTAAACGAAAAAAATAAAAAGAAAATAAAGGAAAAGAAGGTAAAGTGGTTTCTTTCATTTTCCTTTATTTTCATAAAATTAAAGACCCTAACATTAGAGTTTAAATCCTAAAAAGATTGATATTCTTGTTTGCTTTATAATAATATACTTCTCCTTTGGATTCTTTTGTCTTTTTTCTAGACTCTAGGTCATATTGCCCCCATTTATTTTATTTTTATAATTTTATGATTAAAGACAAAAATAAAAAAAGAATAAAGTGATATAATAAATCTAAAATTCCGCGTGTGTGAGACCCACGTGTATGTAGGTTCTACACAGATGCGAGTGATTTGTAGAATAATTGGAAATTACAGTAAAAAAGTTTACACAAAAAAAAAAAAAAAAAGAAAGAAGAAAAAATATTCGAGTAGCCAACAAAACTCTAACATGGTCCCAGAGTGAGGGTGAGCCAACATTTGAAAAATACCAAATGGGAAGACAAAAAAGGAATTCAAGGAAATGAGTAAGTGAATTCATAATATAAAAAAGTAACAGGGGTAGCGGTGCAAAAAAAGGAGGTTTATTTTTGAAAAATACTATAAGTTCTAAATTTTTTACTAAATAAATAATTAAATATCTTACATAAATATAAACTCTACAATTTTATAGACTCTACGATCTTATGAGATATTTAATTATTTATTTGGTAAAAAAGATATGTTTGGGTTGAGTTTTAGAGTTAAGTTTTAGAAAAAAATTTCTAAAAAATTATTTGGTTTGAGATTTTTCTCAAAAAATTTTCAAAATCACTTTCTCTCTCTTACACATCAATCAATCACTTTTTCTCTCTTCTCTCTCCTTCTCAATCACTTTTTCTCTCACACACATCTATTCAATTACAACAAAATATCAAATCATCCCAAACTCCCAAACTCCAAAATTACTTTCAAAATATACAACTAAACAAACTAAAACAATTTCTAAAATAACTCTTCTAAATTTTTTTCAAAAATAATTCTTCCAAAAACAAACTAAGCCTATGTTTGGCAAGTGGGTTTGCAGGCTTTTTTGGCTATTTTAGCCACAAAAAACAAAATAGGCTTTTTTAGCCATAACAAACAAAACATCACATCCAACCCATAATCATTACATTCTTCTCTCACAAAAAAACTCAAAAAAGCCAAAAAGCCCTTCCCAAATCAAGCTTTTAAGCCCAGGCTAAAATAGCCAAAAAAGCCAAAAAGCCAAAAAGCCAACCCACTTCCCAAACGGAGGCTAAACAAGCCCAGAATTTCTACCTCACTTTTCATTTTTAGGTCAAGTTTGGCATGATTGAAAAAAGTCAAAAAGTCACTATCTTATTTAAGTCGCATCATCTTATTTAAGTCACATCACCTCTCTAACACATCACTTCAAATCCAACCCAAACCCAACCCATATTTCATAAAAAGTCAAAAAATACATTTATTTAGTCTTCCCAAACTAAGCCTTACTTTGATTGATTGAACAAAGAAGGAACAGGTGGAGGCAGATAGTGTGGGAATGGTCTTGGAGATGATAACGCCTGTCCAAAAGACGCCTGTCTCTTCGTCACCCTTTCTCTCTGATTTCATTTTATGTTTTTGATCAAGACAATCCATGATTTAAAAAAACAAACAAACAAAAACATAATGCGACAAATCATGTATAATTGATGAGTATTAATAATTAACCACATAAATTTTAAAAGTAAAAACTACAACTGCTAACGTGTCCTTGATAACATATTTGATTTTCAATTTTTTGTTTATAAGAAATAGAAAATAAGTTTTTAATTTTTTTTATTTATTAAATAAAAGAGTATTTGAGATAAAAAATAATTTGAAAATAAAACAAAATAAACATTTTTGTTGAGTTGGTGAAGGTACAGTAAGGTCAAGTTTGAGATGTTCAAAAAAAGTCAAAAAGTCAAAAAGTTACTCAAAAAGTTAAAAAGTTAATACTATTTACCAAAAATCAACAATTACGGCTGCACAACTCCCAATTCAAATTTTTCCCTACAAATCAATTTTTACAATTTTTTATTACACATTTTCCAATAAAAAGTCAAAAAGTTAATCCAAACATCCATATTTTCAACCTCAATTTTTTAGTCCAAAAAGACAAAAAGTACACTTATTTAATCTTCCCAAACTTGACCTAAATAGTGGACAAATGTAATGGTTGGAGATGACTGTTAGTATTGATACTCAAAGAGGCCTAAAGTATTTAAAAATTACGAGTCATAATTAATCAGTTAACAAAAGATATTCAAAACTCGTTACAACTTGCTAGTATTCGGTCGAAAGGTGGTAGAAATTAGCCAAAGTTAGGTGATGACTAGTGGCCACAATAATTCAAAGTGATAAGAAGAAAAAAAAAGATTAAAAAATTATTCAAACGTCATTAAACAAGGCTTAAAAGTATAATTTTAAAAGACCAACATCAATAGAAAGCAAATTCACTATTCAATATGTGATATAATATAAATTTAAATTTCTTGCGGTATTATTCACATATTTTGCTTTTGAAATATTTTTTTAAGTGTATTTTGATTGAGCTAGTAGTTACATTGCTAGTCTAGATTTCTTTTGCGACGTGGCACCACATCCAGGCCTCACCGATTTCTCAGTCTACGAGGCAATGCGTCAACTCGGACATGGGCCTAAGCATTGGGCCATTGGCCTTTTTCCCATTTCTTTTAGGGGGAACAAATTGGCCTTTTTTTTTCATGAAACATTTTCCCACCCAAACACCTTGCTCTAGGATGAATAAGAGGAATAAGTAGGTGTGATCTTATGATTTATTTATTTATTTTATATTAATATTAGTTATAAATTAACAATAAAATATATAAGTTTAAGCCTTCCTCTATATTACTGTCTGTGTATACCTAAGTGTGAGTCATATAAAAGGAAAAAAATTTCTGATGGATAGATATTAGCCTAGCCATCACAGACCAAAGCCCAATAGCTATTGGGGACCATTTGGGCTCAGGCCTAATCCAGTGTAAATTTATTTACTTTTTCAAAAAATTACTACAAAAAAGTTATAAACAATCCTAATAAGCTCTACAAAACAAGACTGTATGCCAAATTGCCAATACATTGCACCTTGATAAAGCATCCAATGAGTTTGGCCCCCTACACATGATTCTTGGTCAGCCACTTGGTTCAAGAATCAAAACTCTTGGTATTGAAAAAGTTCACGTTACGAACACAGAAATCGTTCATCAAATCAAAGTGAATCTTATAATTAATTTTGTAATTGATTTCGGTCTAAATAAAAGAATTATTTAGCATTTTATAACGGTCCATGAAAAATGCACTAGCACGAGTATGTAAGATGTAGTTTGTTCCTTCGATTTGCTTTGCCACCTCACAAATGCATGTATGCAGAACGTGGCGGAGCCACCACGTGCTAGAGGGGGTAGCTGCCTCTCATTTTCACAAGTTTAGCAAACATGTAGGGTTGTAAGCGAATCGGGTTGAGCCGAGCTTTGCTGAGCTTGAGCTCGGCTCATTTATTTATCGAGCTCGAACTCAGCTCGATAAAAATCTAGGCTCGAGTTTAGCTCAGCTCGGTTTGGCTCGGCTCGATAATTATTTTTTTAATATTATTTAAATAAAAAATTATTTATATTATTTAATATATAAATAATATATTTATTATATAATTTAAATAAAGATAAACAAGCTGAGCTTATGCGAGCTCGAGTTCGGCTCGTTTACTAAATGAGCCTAATAGTCGAGCTTGAACTCAGCTTGTTTACTAAATGAACCGAGCCGAGCCGAGCCGAACTTGTTCATGAACAGTTCGGTTCATTTGTAGCCCTACAGACATGCCAAATGTTCGGTGAAATTCCCAAACCAACATTTACATCATTGCTTATTAATTTGTTAAGATTATATATCAATGTTTATTGTTTATCCATCACTTTTATTCTTTAATTTCGTTGAATTTTTCATACTTAGTTTGAGGTAATTTTGCCCAACCATGCTGCTTGGTCAAGCAAGTTGAGCAGCAACCGAGCATGATACGGTCAAGTATACGACCCAAGTGTTCACTTTTGGGAAAATAGTTGGACAAGGGATATGATCCCGCCCAGGATGAAGGTAGTTGCATAAAACTCTCAGCGGCCATTTCATGAAATATAAAAGGTTCCTTAGCTTGCTAAAAGTGGTACGCAATCTTTAGTATCCTCATTATCACTATATTGAGAATTTAACTTTTCAAAGTACAGACTTAAGTATCGGAGTGTCCCTAACTGATCACTCCAATTGGCAAGAACTCACTATTTGTGGTCGTAAGTTCAAATAGTGTTCCAGTATTGATTCCATTCAGTACGGTATATTTTTATTCCATAGAATTTTTAGAGGATCCAAGATTGAGAATTTTGTTTGTTTCGTTAATTTTGTTTTCTAATGAGCATTTTTTAATTTGTTAATGAACGATAACTCACATGTTTTTAGGTGGAACCTTGGTTCTAACACGAACCAAAACTTGGAATTGTTTGCCCCCCTTTGGATTGATTTCTTAGCTCTGCTGCTGAAAGCAGGCAAGCACGAAAACAAGCAATTACATATTGATTTCTTAGCTCTGTTGAAGATTTCTTTATCTCTGTTGCTAAAGATAATCATTTGTTCTTACTCGAGTCAAAAAGGGTATAATTCTTTTGTCTTTCGATTTACATTAAAGCAATGACTTATGTGCCAACATTTATATATGTTTGTATGGTTTGCAACTTTGTGTAATACAACGTGTTTTACGAAAGTAAAAGACATTGGAACAGAATGTAAAGCTGAAAGAGCACATGGACAAGATGCTTAACTTGTGTAGCTAACATTAGACATTCAAGCCCAAAAAAGTGTAAAAAAGTAAACATCATGGAAAACATTGCATACCTTAGAAGCACTCACAAACACCACAACACTGACATATGATACACAAAGCCTAACATTCCCTAGCAAAGAAAAAGAGATGCCCGAGTCTAATTTTGAGTCTGAGTCTTAATCTAAGTTTGCGTTTAAATTGTATTAAAGCTATGACTTATACACCAACATTTATACAAACATGCTCCTATATATGTTTGTATGGTTTGTGACTTTGTGTAACACAACACGTATTACAAAAAGTAAAAGACATTGGAACAGAATGTAAAGGTAAGAGAGCACATGGACAAGATCCTTAACTTATGCAACTAACATTAGAAACTCAAGCCTAAAACAAGTGAAAAAAAAAATGTACACATATTTTGAGCAAACATTGCATACCCACCCATAATAGTACAATCAATACAATAAAAATGTAAAAGACATTGGAACAGAATGTAAAGGTAAGAGAGCATGGACAAGATGCTTAACTTATGCAACTAGCATTAGAAATTCATGTCCAAAACAAGTGGAAAAAAAATGTGTACATATTTTGAGCAAACATTGCATATCCACCCATAATAGTACAATCAATACAATAATTAGAAGCACTCAAACACTCCACACTAACATATGATACACAAATACACAAGACTCTGTAACCTTCCCCCTAAAATCAAAGGTTAGAGCTATGGAAAAGAGATGCCCGAGTCTGATTTTGATTATGAGTCTGAGTCCAAATCTGACAAATTCCTTGCCACCATAGAGCATTGAAGCATTTTTTTTACTTCATGTACAGCCTGTTAAAAGAGCAAAGCAAAGCAAATAATGGAGGAGATGTGGTGGTCACAAGTTGTGAAAGTCATAGGCTCACCAAGCACATGCCCTGCCTTTCCTCTGCCCACCCTGCACATGCTCTGTGTCCCCACACACAAACAACACACACACCAACAACTTTTATTCCTAACCCACCTCAGCTAATCACTGCCATTGATTTAAAAACTTACAACAACTTATGTCTATTAACTATGCACACCACTAAATCAATCCAAAACCTAAATTGTGTAGTTAGAAGTTGGGTCATACTTTGTATATTGGCTTATTAATTCTTTTTCTTGTCAAACCATATGATCTTGTCATGTCATGTCTGTCATTTTTTTATAGAGCGGGGCTTACAGTAACAAGCGGAGATGCCGACACAAGACACTTCACGTGTCGCGGACAGGTGATCAGGTGGTCATTGGTGAGGCCGGCCGCTTGCATGAACGAGTGCATGACGGTGGGGCCCACGAACCGGAAACCTCTTCTCACCATATCTTTGCTCATGGACTCTGATTTGGAAGTCTTCACAGGGATCTTGTGGCATGACTTGTATTGGGTGGCAAGGGGCTTGTGATTCACAAATCCCCACAGATACTTTTCAAATGATCCGAATCCCTTCTTGATCTGTAAATGAGTTCAAGAATTCAATAACATAATCAACTATAATAAGTATAAAAAAAAAACAAAAAAAATGCAGGAAAGTGAGTGTTAGAAAAGAAAGTGATTTGAATCTGAATCCTCCTTTACCTCAAGAATACGGTTAGCATTGTCAACAACGCCGCGGATTAGGCTTAATTCTATGCCATAATCAGCACTGATGGAAGAAATCTTCTTTTCAGGAAACTTTGAAACTGTTTCTGCATCAAATCCCGAGAAGGCATCCCTGTGGAAAAAAGGAAAACAGCATAACTAAACACGAAACTCATGACTCGTCAGGTAGTAGTGGGAGCCTCATGCACACTTAACTATCCTTTTTTAACCGATCTTTTTTTTTTTTTTTTGAGTATTATGGGAAAAAAAATACCCACCTGAAAATTTGTCGTTTCTTCAAGACTGAAGTCCAATCTGATCCAACTTGAGCACCGGTCAATACTAGCAATTCAAATAGCAGGCTGCGTACGTAGCAAAAGCAGATTAGAATTTCATATATCGACTAATATCAGACAGTATCAATCAATATATCAATAAATATCAATATTGAAAGTCCAAAAACTCTAACAATAGATATGAGTAAGAATGAGAGAGAGAAAAAGATTGATTGATCCTTACTTGTCACCATGGACAGGGACTCCCCATTCCTCATCATGGTAAGCAACATAGATAGGATCTATAAAAGAACAATACCAATTTACCATATTTCAGCACAACCGTTCATACTGAAAAAAACACACAAACCAAACAAAAATCTTTCCATCTTCTTTCAAAAATTTTAGTCCAATTGATAACGTCCCACTAGAAATTATGCTGAAATTACAGAGCAAAATAATTCATTCATACAGTGACTGACGAGTTGACACCCAATTTGAAATAGTCCATTTTCTTTTGAATGAACCATTTTGCTCTTCATTTTTGTCCCTTGTTAAAGAATATTATTAATTGGATTGAATTATGGCAATGTGAAAAATTAAAAGTAAGATTTATACAATTAAAACTACATGAACCAAACTAACGCAAGAAACAAATTACATAGATCACGGGGTACAGTTTGCTATTTATTTATTTATTGTTTCTTCAGAGAAAGTGACTATTAAAAATTTTGCATTACCTGAATTACTTGTGATAAAACTGCATCTCTTCTCCTCTCTAACAGTTGCAGTACAGTCAAGAGGCACCACCATGCCTTCAAATTTACCAGACTTAGTTCTTCCATAGTGAGCAATCTTCATCTTCCTCTGCACTTGCATAATCGCCACCTGTTCTCTCCTCGCTGCTGCAATACTTCCGGGGGCCTCCACTATCACAGATGAAGGAAACTTCAATGCAGAAATCTCCACCACACCTCCACCTCCACCACCACCACAATTCTTTGACTTCTTCACCGGTGTCGTGGCAGCTTTAGCAGTGTTCCTTGGTGTCACCACCTTTTCAGAACTAGATGTCAAAGGGTCATTCCCTCTCTTGGCTGCCTTTAGCTTGGGAGATATTGGAGGTGTCACGGGCTTAACTTTAGTATTAGTACCAATAGTAGTAGTACTATTTGGTGATGACAAAAGTTGAATTTGCGGAGAAAATGACTTTGGGAAAGAAGAAGACTTCTTAAGCGGATCACGGCGGTCTAAGGGAGAGACTACGCGGTTGGAGGCCGGTTGAAGAACCGGCCTGCCATTGATATCAGAAACAGTAGTGTTGCTGCGTTGCAGTTTGGACTTAGAAGAACACATTTTGCTATATGCTTCTTTTGTTTTTGTTTTTGTTTATGTTTTTGTTGTTTTGGTGGGAGAGGAGAGAAAGAGAAGTGAATGAATTAAAAGATGTGGGATTGGGGAAGGCGGTTTATAAAAGAGGAAGGTGGGACAGGTTTAGGGGGAAGTGGTAACATGGGGGAGTTGGGGACTGCCATACAAACAGACCCTCTTGTGAGGGACACTACCTTTTGCTAACGTGACCACGAGGATGACACTGACACCCTCCTTATTGGGTCCCACTTTTAGAATATCATCTAGGAAAATAATTTTTAAATAGAAATTTTATGCCATAATATGATTTGGGTTTGTCTTTAATTCGACTTTAATGTGTTTAGAGAGAGAAAAGGGCAGGGGGTCATTGTAATCTCAATACTTGTAACAAAATTCTTTCGTCATATCCTTCACTCGTAGACTTAGCCTTATGATTGTGCTTGTGTGTTTGTTCTGTTTTAAATTTTTTTCATTTTCAAACAGAATACTTCATAAAAGTAATGTGATAGTAATATCTTTATAAAATAATAAATCACTTATGAATTTTTTAATTAAAAATGAATAGATACAAATCTACAGCATTATTTTATGCAAATTTTTCGTTTAATTTTTTTTGTCATTGTATATCTTGAAAGATACATTCCATTCTACAGAGAGGAAATTGAAGGGATGGTGGTGGTGATGGTGGGGTGGTGGTGATGCCACTGCCAGTGCCAGCCCCTGTGCTGGACCCATCTACTCCTGATCTTTGTGTGGCTTTACTGCTGAGGAGTCCAGGCGATGCCGGCCCTCTGCCCAATCCCAACTTGGAGTTGGGGTGAAGGCTCCTGGCCCATATAAAAGTCCAATCATTGCACTTTTTCCTTTATAGCTGTCTAAAATTCTGTCATTTTTTTCCTCCCAATTTCTACCCTATAAGTTTAGGAACATAAAAATAAGAGTAAATTACACTTTCCTCTTTTTTATGTTTGTTTATTTTTTATTTTAGTCTATTTTTTTGATTAATTTTTTATTTTAGTCTTTAAAATTTGTTTGTTTGTTTGTTTGTTTGTTTTTTTTCTTTTCACTTTGACTCTTCATATTTCAAGTTTTTTTTAGTTTATTTCTAAAGCTAACTTTTGTTTAAAATTAGACAAAAAATGTCACGATAACTGTCGCATAGTGTAAAAAATATAATTTATATTGAAATTTGAATTTGTGCCAATGGTGTGAGTTATATATAATAAAATATTTTTATGTCATGTGATTGTTAATACGTTATTCTTTGTTTAGTTTTTAATCAAAATTAGCTTTATGTGTAAACTAAGAAAAATTTGAAACATAAAAGCCCAAAGTGGAAAAGTGGCCAAACATAAAGGAGAAGAAGTGTAAATTACCCTAAAAAAATCATAGAATTAGATATATAAAATAAATAAATGAATCCAATATTTAAGAAGTGAGTCCTACAAATAAATCTCATAAAATTTTATCTATTCATTAATTTTTTGTGCCCGACTCCTTATTTGATTTTTGTGTTAATAAAAAAAGAGGGATTAGTTTAGTTGTTGGAACTAATCAAAATAATAACAAGTGATCAAAAGTCTGCAAAAGGCTTATGAGAGACTAAAGTTGACATTTCTATTTTTGATCAAACGTCTCTTATGCACCTTGCTGGCTTTAGGATCAATTAACGGTTATATGCAATGGTCCACCATTTGTAGAAAAGATTTTCCATTATTAATTAATTATATAAATGAAGATTGGAATCAAAAGAAACCATATTCTTATTGAACAACTTGGAATATGGCACCTACATGTGAATAAAAATGCCACCTTTGTGACTAATTAACTGTGTTTGGTTATCAAATTTGTGAAGAATTTTATGAAAAAAAAAAAAAAAAAAAGTTTTCCTTTTCTATACATGTTTAGTTGGGATCAATATTACTCCTCAATAATTTTGATGTGGTAGTCCAGTGATTACATTTTAAAGTTGAAACAAAATGTGTCTCATTATTATAACGAAAACCACAACAAGATCATTGTAAAAAAAGAATGACAGAAGATCCAAATCAATTTGCTTTATGTTTTCCTTAAATATAAGTTTCCCCATAACTGTTTTCTTGAAAGAAGTATTTTTTCTAAACCATTTTTTGTAAAAAATATATGATTTTATGTACACAAATTTCTTTCTTATAAATTGAACAATCATAAATTCAAGATTCAAACATTTCGATTTTATTAATATTATAGGAGGTTGGAGATATAGGGTTTAAAATATTATTTTTCTTGGAACTTGGGGTTCAAAATCTGATTTTAAAAAAGAGTTCACCAAACAGTGGCATGGCTAGAATCAATTCATCAATAATTTCAGTTATACGCGGTTGGGGTCTAATACTTCACTCCTTCCTTGGTGGTTCCTTTTCTCTATATTTTTCTCTTTTTTTTTTCAATCCCCCTTTTTTTTATTAGGAGGAAATCTCATGCTTGAAATTTCACATGATATTAAAATGAATCTTCCAAGAACCCTACAATTCCCTAGTGAAATCAAGTACAACCCAATAATATGGTGTGGGTGATGTGGTGGTTGAGACGGTGGTGATGGTGGTGGTGATGATGGTAGGAAAGTGGTGGCAGCGTTGCAAGTGAGATGGTGGTAGAGGCAGCGCTAGTAGGATATAATAGTGGTGGTGGTGACAAAATGATTGTGTTGATGGGATTCTTGTTTGTCTCAATAGGTTTCGAAAATATTTTCCTAAGTTCAAAAAGTGTAATTTTTTTTTTTGTTTTGTTTTTTGCGCCATGATTAACTCTCTTTTTTTCTCTTGATTTTTGTTTTATATTGTATTCAATTCAAAACAATTAGTCTAGGGACACATAACTGACCATATAAAATAATTTGTCATGCATATCATATGGGGAAACCTATCATTAAAAAGATTGATTCACTGAGATTACTCCACTTTGTATGTTTTTTTTTTTTTTTTGGGGATTGATTTTGTGATCGATTCTATATCTTTAGACTTGCTAAATTGTAAATTACATTTAAAAAAAATATATAAAAAATAACTTTAAAAAATTGATCAATTAAAGAGGGAGGACAAATTAGTAATCAATAGGAGTTATGTATTGTTTGATTTATTGGAATAAAATAAGTTGAAATAGAATAATTATTTCTTAGTCTCTCTATAAAATGATTATTATTTTCAATAATGAATAATAATTTCCTTTATAATATATTTTTTTATCTTTTTTTTTTTAATAAACAAAACTTGAAAAATGATAATTTTATTCTATTTCATTCTAATAAATAAAACTGGGCATAACTCAAATGACCTATACGCTAAAAAAGCAAGAACAAGTACAAGAATGGTGTATTCCTTATATGAAAAAAAAAAAAAAAGAAAAGGTACAAAGATTGTGTTATTAATTCTTCTAGTACATGTGTGCGTAATTAATATAATCAGTTTTTATGTAAATCCTGTCACTTTTCATCCTTAATTGCTTGGAACACTTTTTTATTTCTTTGTAAAGATAAGAGAAAACAAGAGCATGTGTTCCTCTCCAACAAATTTGCATGCACCAATAATGAAAGGCATTTTGAAGACAAAACCCAAGCAAAACACATGAATGGTATAAATTATAATGACAATTTTCTTTTTTAAAACCAACTTGTCTTCTATTAATTTGATATAAAAAGATTTTAAAAAAACAAAAAACAAAAAGTCAATAATCCTTTATTATATTTAAATCTTTCTTCCTAACAAATTCTTTGGGCAAAGCCAAATTTCCTTCTATTATTTAGACATAACACATGGCTCTGTCTTGAATCAAAGAAAAAAAAGATGTGGTGGCCCAAATTAAAGTTGCACTCAAAGAAAAGTGAAGTTGATTTTTTTGTAAGAAATTACACAAAATAATTACCCCAAAATCATATGGCTAAAGTACTAGTTTATTTTTATTTATTATTATTAGAGAATTTTTTTTAATATTTATTGTTAAAATGAACTTGTATAAAACTTAAATAAAATTACTAAACTAATGACACATGCTAGGATGTTTTATTGAGTTGGTGGAATACCATGTGAATGAGCACACGATTTGTAATTCACTTTTTTGTTTAATATTCTGATTATATGAAACCATAATTAAAAATTCTAGTTTAGCATGTAAGCATGTACTACTCACTAGCAAACATAATAACAAAAACAAACGAAGAACAGCAGTAATTTTGTTTTTTTTTGGGTGGTGGTGGATTATTTTATTTATGGGTATTGTTAAAAAGTGTTTTAACCATAAGAAAAAAATAAAAAGTGAAGAAAAAACATACGTGACATTTTTTACAAAAAGTTTATTTGTCCTCGGATGCACTTCACTTTTTACGTTACCTACCAATCTTATTTCAATACTAAATGTAAGCATAAGGTAAACAATATCAGTGAAATATTTTTTTATTATAATTTTGTAGATTTTGTAAAATTTTTCATTTATTTTTGAAATACTTCTTATTACAATTCTAATGCAAACTAGTGCATGAGCACTCGTTAACATTTGATATTATACATATATATTCAGTTATTTTATTTACGAAGAAATCAATCATAGAACTGAATATAATCTTATTACATGTATGTAATATCTATAAAAAGTAGGACCGTAAGAATGTTGTGTTCGATTTTGTGATCGATTTATGCGTTATTGTCTGAAATTTTTTTCTTTTGGTACCTAGCTTCCAATTATAAGAATGACATGAAACACTTTATGACAGTGTACTCTATGGAAGTGCATTATAATTGTACGTACAAAAACCAGATACATATATATATATATTGTCTCATTCATTCTGATCTGAACACTTGAAACCATTCATTGATCCATCGATCAGAACAATGAAAGTGAAACACTTTTTGTGTGTGTGTGTGTCCAAAGCACCTTATCTACGAAGGAACAACTTGGTTGATGATTTGTGGGGATAGTTTTGTCACAGATCACAGCTCAAATGCTCAACTCATACTTGGCTCATCTTTCAGCATTCATCATCTCTCTCATCTCTCTTTTCTCTCTCCCTCTATGTCTGTTAATGGAAGAAAAATAATCAATCTTTACTTTTGATAATGATTATTGACTCCTAATTTGAGTATGCAGAGTAGTCAACTGAACTAGCTCAATTAGTTTAGGAGAGAGAAAGAGTGCAACTCAAGACATCGAAAATTGAGATAATAATATTATCAACTGAATATTAGGTTATTCACATTTGATTCTTCAACTTTGGTTAGATAATAGACTTTTGCTCCAATAAGTTTTGTTCATGTGGCAATTTTTACAACTGTATCTTGAGGTTTTATAGGTTTGATCTTGAGGGTAATCACTTCGTAAAATTATAATAAAGGTTAGATTTGTAATCAATGTGTCTCTTTTAAATTCCGATTAAATAAAGACCAAATTGACTACAGTTCTCTTAATCTTATGCTATAACTTAATAGGTTTTTTTATCAAACAAAAAAAGGGGGATCTTCTTCATAAATTGATATAGCATATCATCAAGGGCAACCTATATTTGGGCTTATAATCTCTTCATTTCTATTTAGTCCTATCAAGCATTGGAAACAATTGAGATGAAACAAATTAAGGACAAGTAATTAATACATACATACATATATACATATATATATATATATAAATTGTATAATTTGCTAGGTCTTTGTGAGAGCCACATATTCTTTCAATCAATCTTTGAATCGCATGTACTAGAAAAATATAGAGGGACCTCAGTGTCTTTGCTGTTCAAGTGCAAATACTAACAACATGAGAGGACAATTTGCCCCCACAAGGAAGACATTGGTGCTGGCATCTATTTGTCATACTTCTGGATGACAAATCATCCAAAAAATACCAAAAAAAAGAAGGAAAAAAGAAGAAGAAGAAGAGAAATAAATAAATGAATGAATACGAACAGAGAATGACAGAGATAGGAGCTGTGGTGAGACAGAGACCTATCCTTGCTGTGTTCAAGTGATTTTGAACACAGTGAAATGTGTTCCCCAGGCATTTGCTGCATACATATGCATGGGACCTTTGGCAGTCATGATCCATCATTATCATCATTTCTATTTAATTTTTGAGGATAAGTCCAGTGTCATGATCAAGGGGCATTATGTTGGGAGTAAGGGTATTTTGGTATTTTTACATTTGTGAATTGTTGTTCTAATTTCTATGTATATATAGTGAGGGGACAACTATCTCTATATTTCTTGTGTAACCCTTCTTGATCATAGTGAAATCGCAACAATCATGGATAGAACTTTAGTTCACATAATTCTTATATTTTTGTGTGCGGTGTAATTTATAATTCTTATGTGTTTATTCTCTATTTTTGTGTCTCACCAATCTTTCTTAAATGTTACGGATTCTTAACACATCAATGATGTGCAATACGAACATCCAAGATTGTACCCCTAGCCTTTTATTATTATTATTATAAATTCTTTTAGTACATAAAAAATTAATTAATGTATATTAACATGACACGACACGGATATGACACGGATACGCTGACACGTTAATTTTAAAAAGGTGGAAGACACGCTGACACGTTAATTTTAAAAAGGTGGAAGACACGACACGTGGGGGATACGCATGAAATATATAATTTTATATATTTATTATATGTTATATATATGAATATATTATTCAAAGATAATAAAAAATGCAATATGATACTAATTCTTATAAATTTATATGATTTTTGTTATTATTGTATCTTCAGTTGTTTTGTTTAAATTTATAATTAGTTTCATATGTGTCTAATCGATTGACACATGCGTCATAGCAATTGACAAGTGTGTCCTCCAAGTGTCTAAAGAATGTCTGAATCTTTAAAAAAAATTTAAAAATAGGACATGTTTTGAAGAGTGTCGGACACGTGTCCAAAGAGTATCGGTGTCCGACACGGACACGATACGAATATGTCACCTTCTTAGAAGTGCCTATACTTCTAATTAACTATCCTAGAGAAGGGGTATTGATGACTTGAACATGATCTGTTTTATAGGCTCGTAAATGTTTGCTTGAGCTGCAAAGGGAAGCGGTTTGAACCCTTCCCAGATGGGCAACGTTAAAAGTTCTCAAGCACTAAGGCTTTGTTTGGGAAGCCAATCTTGAGGGTTTTTTTTGGTTATTTTAACCACAAAAAATAAAATAGACTTTTTAGTCTAATAAGACAAAATATCACATCTAACTCATAATCATTACATTCTTTCTCTCACAAAAAAGCCAAAATAATCAAAAAAGCCAAAAGCCCTTCCTAAACCAGGCTTTTTAACCCTAGGCTAAAAAAGTTAAAAAGTCAAAAAGTCAACCCACTTCCCAAACGAAGCCTTACATGGCTTGCTCGTATACTCCCATTCGTGTGACATACAAATTGGAGCCCTAAACTCAATATCCACCATTTTAGGTAAATATTAATGCATTACCAGCCCAATTTTTTTCAGAACCTAAGCCAAACATCAAGATGAGGCTTTTAGCCTCTGTAGTCTTTAGACAATAAGGGCCTTTGGCAAAAATTTAAAAAAAAATAAAAAATAAAAATTTGATGGGCCTACAAGGTGTTAACTTGACTATATAGTGAGTTTAGAATCAACAAATTTAGATAAATGAAATATTTTTAGTATTGATTCTCAAAAATCAACATATTCAAAATCATTGTTCTTATTTCTTCTCGATACATGCTTCCTGCATCATCTGTTCAGTCCAACATCTTACCTAATTTGGGAGTCACTGCACTTAAGGAAGCCCATTCTCACAATCTTAACTATTACATTGCCCAACAATCCAACCAGCCCACAAAAAGAGGAAAAAAAAAAAAAAACTTACAATGAATGATGAGAACAGTCGAGAGTCTCATTGTAGAAGGCAAAAGGTAATGTGTAATACACACACACACACACACACACACACACACATATATATATATATAGAGAGAGAGAGAGAGAGAGACAGAGAGAGAGAGACAGAGCAATCTTATGGTGCAAAGGAAAATTCTGGCATCATTTCAACAAAATTAGTATAAATCAAGATTGTTACAACATTTACAATATTACATACTTACAAAAGGAAAGCACTGTTTAGTGACTTTCTTGTTTAAAAATCAATAAATACAATAATTCAATTGTTAACATGGCCTTCTATAAACAAAGTAAAATCAAAATAAAAAACCCATGAACACAGAAAAAATAGAAAAGAAAATTAGAATTTCAACTTGTGTCTCGTGTTGAATCAAAATTTAGATTAGAGACGGTCCTCTGTGCAAGAACTCGTTCACCAGTTCCTTAGGAATCATTAACATATGCCCGAACAACATCAACTATTGGTGCTCGACATATTGGGCATTTACCGCTACTCCATTGCAGCTCATGGGCACACTTAAAACAGGTGCACATGTGACCACATCTGAAAAACCAATGGGACAACAAGACACGATGACTAAGATGAGTTTTACTGGTGCTGAAGATCTGAAATGAACTCAAATTTCAAACCCCCCCCCCCCCCCCCCCCCAAAAAAAAAAAAGAAGAACCAAAAAGAAAAAGCAAAGCTTGGATTCGAAAGCAAGTACCTGTACAAGAGAGCATCAACTTGCATTTCCAAGCAAACACAACAAACTCTTTTTATTGGAGCCTCAATGAGTGACTTCTTCTCCACCCCTCTAACTGCAATCATTAACATGTGTCCTTTATTAATGAGATAGATAAAAGGAAAACAATTTAAACCGTTGCATAAAGCGTATGAAGTATTGTGAAAGTAACTTTCTTGCATCTAAAAGTGGCAGCGGTGGTGGTGGTGGTGGTGGGAAAGGGAGGGGCTTATTTGAGAATACAAATGAAATTTGAATCCAAGATTCTTGTTTCTATGAGCAACCAATGAATGGAAAACAGTTTAAATAGTTACATAAAGTGTGAAGTATCATGAAAGTAACTTTCTTGTATCTAAAAGTAATTTTAAGAAGAAAAATAATTTTTGACTCCGAGATTCTTGCTTCTATGAGCAACTGATTTTCCATACATTGCAAGTAAATAGGACCATAAAAACCTAGCATAATTGAGTTTTCCACCATCTATAGATGTCATATGACAAGGGATGGTTTTACCAAGTTGATTTCTTTAGATGTATTACATGTAGTTTACAATATCATTTTAGGTATTGAATTTTTCAGGCAATGACACTTCTCTTCTCTTAATTGGCAGCATCCAACATAAGTCAATCCCACATTCCTAAAATTACCAATTTTTAGTCCCTTATGAGCATTTTTTAGGGTGTGAGGTTTTAATGCATTAAATAGCATATTGAGATTGGTCATCCTTTTATCTATACTATAAGTCTACTTTATTAAATAAATAAATAAAAAATAAGATAAATCATATGTTCTCATAGTTCAAGGGAATGTCCTTTTATCTATACTATAAGTCTACTTGATTAAATAAATAAATAAAAAGGAAGATAAATCATATGTTCTCATAGTTCAAGGGAATGAGGGTATTATCTCTTCCTTCTCACCTGAGCTATTTACAGCAGCTGCAACCACCTTCTTAATGGAGCGTTGCATTTTTGTCTGCATGTTCATGCAACTATTTATTGATTTTCGGAGCTCAGACATCTCACGGTGCAGCTGCTCCATGTGCCCTCTCAAATCATACATGAGCTCCATTTCCTGTTGGACCCACAAAATTATTTATTGCCATAAAGTAAATAAAAAAATTACTCAAAGAGATAAAGAAATTTTTAGAAGAACAAGAGAAGAAAAGCACTAACAACTGAAGAATGATTGGTGAAAGAATAGCAGGGTTGACTTTCTGGAGAGGAAGACTCAGATGACTGGGGTTGTTGCAATGATGGAGATACAGCTTGATCAGAATTACAACTGACTTCGTGATCAGTATCATGACTCCATGACCTCACACCAGATACAACTTGATCCACATAGTCACTGACTTCATTATATTGTGGTCCACTTGAGCTCTCTTCTTCCTCTTCCACTTGCTCCTCCTCTTCTTCTTCGTCTTCTTGCTGACTGTTTATCGTATGCGTTTGCCTTTGTATGTGAGACCTCATTAATTGTTCTAGTCTATAGTGTAAACCATTATCTTCTTCTTGCTGATTTTCCATTGCATGTGGTAGTCTTTCCACTCGAGAAATCATCAATTGGTCCATTTTGTCTCGTAAATTACTTGAAAGAAATGTTGATACACCTCTCCTGCACACGTAAATTAGAAAGTCAATGAGCTTTGAGCACAAATAAATGAATACACCGAGAACAAGTAATATGAAATTATGATCTGAATCATCCTCAATTACAAATCATTTCAGTAACATTAATGCAAAAGTCCTCAGTCCCACCAGTATATATCATAGAAATAAATAGAAATGTTGCATTTCATTTTTGAGTTTTTTCAGAAACAAGGTGTTTTATATTCTTGAAGCTTAAATTATTTATGAAATTGAAAAGGGAAAAAAAATGGAACTCAGAAGAAATCAGAGGGATGTGTACCTTTCAAGGAGTTGTCGTATATCTTCATTGTGCACGTAAGGATCAAGCATCTCCTGGTACCTTGCTTGCCTGAGACCTTCCCAATCACTCCTTGGCCGAGAAACTTCACTTATCCAATCTTGATTTGTTATCTGCTGGTTATTGGCCTCTTCTTCGTCCCACTCACTCCAAGTGCGAGAAACCTCACTTATCCAGTCTTGATAGATTCCCATTTGCTGCCGATTACTGGCCTCTTGTTCTTCCCAATCACCCTGTGGATGAGAAACATCACTTATCGTGTCCTCATTGGTTGCTATTGGCTCCTCATTATTGGCATCTTGCTCTTCTGCGTTCACATTCTCTTCCAAGCAGTATTTGCTTGTCAATCTGTCTGAAGATTCTTGTGAGTCAAGATTGCAAGACTCATAGCTTGCTCCTTCCCATGCAGTATATGAACTTGGACTAGCTTCTTCATTAACATCTTCTGTTGAAAATGTACTTTGCTGCTCAGTGCTATTATTAACTTCCTGATGATGAGGCTCTTCCCTAGATTGATTGGAGGTAGAAGAAATTTTCACATCTGGAATGTTATTTACCACAAATTTGTGGTGGATTTTCAGATCAGCTGCATCATGCTCAACGTGTACGTCAAATTTCTCCCTAAATTAAATTAAAAGTTAGAATAACGTTAATTAGAACAAGAAGTTATTGTCATGTTTCTGTTTTAACGAGCCCAAAGATTCATAAATCCAATTCAAAGTCTAAAAAATAAATCCTTCAGAGTATAACAAAGAGCTGCCAAGCTGATAAAGCCTTCACTTTTATGCAAAATTATTTATTTAAAGCTTTAGGATAGATCCCCCAAGTTCCATGTTTGATCGGTGGGTTGTACCATTTTTAATTGTTTTGCACTGTGGTGTACACTTTTTTTCTCTGTAAAAGATGAATTAGAGAAGTTTGTTATTAATGACCCTGATATGAGTCACTCTCATCGAAAGCTGGATACTTTTCTAAGCCGTAATGCAAAAGGATCTTGACAACACCGTGTTTGTTCCTAGGAAATCATTGTTTCTCTCTTTTCTTATCATGTTTTCATTATACGAAGAGTTTTATGAATTAAGGCCTCGTATCTAGGGGTGTGCGTCATGTCGTGTTGGGTCGCGTTCATGTCATGTCATTTGTGATTCATGTCAGAATTACCTCAGCACTAACCCGACCCCCCTTTTATTATTTCGTGTTACTATGTCGTGTCATTTTCGGTTCGTGTCCGATTCGTGTCATGTTAACGAGTCATATCAAAAAATTTCACCATTAACTAAAAATATCAAATGTATGAAACAAATTAAAAAATTCTTCACAAGTTAAATTTAATGAAACTAATCTCTATTAAATAAAATTATTTATAAAAATATTTGATTTCAACTTAATTTTATTTTCTTAATTTATGAAAAATATATTTTATTATTATATTTTTTTACTAGATTAACTCAAATAATAGACAGAAAATACATTAAGTTCAATTAAAAACAAAAACAAAACTTACATTAAACTTAAGATCATATTTTACATACTTTTTACTCTCTCCGTCCCAAAATATTGGTCCCTTTTGGGGAATCCAACTTTTTTTGGTAGTACACTTATTGCATTTGAAAAAAGTTGATTTTCCAAAATTACCCTTTTGATAGTACATTTTTTTGGAATATCAATGTCATAATTGTACTTTTTAAATTGTTTATTAATTTAAAAGAAGGGCAAAATAGGAAATTTACATTATTTTTGTACTTGATTTATAAAGAGGGACTAATATTTTGGGACAATGAAAAATGGAATAAGGGAGTAATATTTTGGGATGGAGGGAGTAATAAATTGCAATTACGTAAAAGATTAAAAAATGTCATGATACTCTTTAGTAGAAATAATATTAAAATGTGTTATTAATTCTTCATTATATGGGTTACCCGTGTCAATTTCATGTTATATAGATTTGACACTAACCCGACCTGTTTAATATTCGTGTTATGGGGTCGTGTCATAAACTAATCTCTATTAAATGAAATTATTTATAAAAATATTTAATTTCAACTTAATTTATAAAAATTATATTTTATTATCATAGTTTTTTACTAGATTAACTCAAACAATAGACAAAAAATACATTGAGTTCAATTAAATGCAAAAACAAAACTTACATTGACCTTAAAATCGTATTTTACATAATTTTTAAGGATATAATTATGTAAAAGATTAAAAAATGTCATGATACTCTTTAGTGGAAGTAATAGTAAAATGTATAACTGATTTTTCATTATATGGGTTATCCATGTCAATTTTGTGTGTATACAGATTTGACATTAACCTGACTTGTTTAATATTCGTGTTATCGGGTCATGTCATGTATGTGTTTGTGTTAAGAAATGGTCAACCCTAACCCGCTAATTTTGTGTATGGTTCAAGTTGTGTTGCAAATTCCCACTCCTATTTGTATTACATACTTTGTTTCCCAATTCTCTTATGATTTCCAACTCCAATTTAATACTATTCATATTGTAAAATCATCTTCTACTCATTCCCTCTTACGCGCACACATTCAGACATGCAAAACACACACACACCATGATGCACGAGAAGTAGAAACTAGCTTGACAAAAATGGAATTAAGAGGTCAGTGTAATTCACAGTACAAATAATTAGCCTATTGCATTCTTGTTTCCTAAAGGTAAATCATTACCCTTTTGATGGATAAGTTTAGTGTTTAGTTGATAGTCAAAAAATGTTCTCAAACAAACACCAATTTATTTATTTATTTTCTTCATATATATATCAAGAATGCATGAAAAAAAAATTATGTAACAATCTCATGATTCTATGCATCAAACTGAGTGGTTATGAAAACAGGAAGGCCCTTACCTTAGAAGCACTACTGTTGAACATTGTCTAGGTTGCCCTGATTTAGATGCCGTTGAATGTGAATCTTGTCTATCACTAAGTACTGGTGAGTTTTGTTCAACCTCCTCTGCTTCTGTATACGAATGCTGTTGATTCCCAATTGCTGCTTCATGACTTGAATGCTGTTGAGCCCCAACTTCAGCTGAATCTGAAGGCTGTTGAAGCCCCGTTGTTATCGTCAAATTTGAATGCTGCTGAGACCCAACTCCTGCTTTATGACATAAATTTTCCTGATCTCTGACAACTCCTCCATGACATGAATGCTGCTGTTGAGGCCTGACTTCCACTGAATGTGAATGCTGTGGAGCCTCTACAACAGCTGCTTCACAATGCAGGTGTGGTTCATCTCTGACTAGTTCTTCATGACAGGAATGTTGTTGATCCCCAACTACCCTTGAATGCGAATGCTGTTGAGCCTCAATTGCTGCTTCATGACGCAAACGCTTTTGAACCCCAGTTGGCACTGAACATGGATGCTCTTGATGCCCAACATCTGCTTCGCGGCGTAGGAATCTAATGCGAAGCATTGTCTACACTTATACCATAAAAAATAAAATTATAATAATAATAATAAAACAAAAGCACTACATAAGTATGTTCAAATGACAGTTGAAATACTTGTTTACTCCATAATTGAACTTATAGGACACCATCTTGGTACTGATCCATAATGATCGAAATCGAATCATGAACCTATTACTATTAGTGAGAAAGGGCCATGAACTAGAGTGTCTTGATCAATTTGAAAGATCATTGAGTGTAGTTGAAATAACTGAATTTTGAGTGATTTGATGACGGTAAACTCAATGGAATTCAAAATTGTCTCAATTTTTTTTAGTTAATTTTATTGTCTGCATGTTCAGGAGTTAAGACCATTCAAATTCCCCTTTTCGCCACAAATAAACTGAACCAACAATTGAGATAAGCACAAAAATTAAAGCTTCTATAAATAGAGATACGCCCAATACATCCAAAACTCATTGCCCATGGACAAAAGAAAAACCGTTTCAAAACAACAAAAACTAGATCATAACCTATGATAATGAATTCGAAATTGCAACCAAATTGAAGAAATGGAAATATAACCTGAATGCGGCCTTTATGGGAGAATCTTGAAACTGCTCGACGCTCCACCAGGGAATCGAGCTCCCTAAGCCTGTCGCCCTCCAATTGCATAAGCAAATCATTGAATGCTTGACGCCCTCGAATACAGGGCGAGTTTATGACAGGCGATAAACACCTATTTTCTTGTTGATGATGATCCAATGCTGACAATGTTCGCAGCCTAGGCAACAATTCATTCCCAAAACTCTGATGCTCTGAATCATGAGAGCCCTGAATTTGATTCTCAGCTTTCAGTGTCAACCTCCTAATCACATCTGCCACTCTCACCCTCTCTCTCTCCGCTCCACCCTCTCCTCTTCCTGCATCCTCGGAAGGGGGTCCGCTCGGGGCCATCCTGTCCGATTCCCAGTCAATGAATGAGTCCTCTATCATTACAGAAGGGAAGTCGAGCCTTTCATCGACAGATTCACGGGTTTCAGATGGCGTTGCATCGACGAATGAAGAGTTTTCAGGGTTGTAATTGGTGTTGACAGAGATGGAAACAGGGGAGGAAGACCAATTGGGGTTGTTTTTGTTGGCGTTTTGATTCAGAGCAGCCTCAGCTAAGTCCCTCCACCTCTGAACAAGAGTAGAAACGCCACCCAGATTGGGAATTTCGGCAGAGGCGTCAGATTGAGTCGGAGAATTCTCTCTCTGCTCTCCACTCTGTTTATCAATGGCGGTCACCATTTCTCGAGCTCGTGCCCACCTATCAAGAACTTGGCCGTGTCTCTCGCTGTTGGGTGACAATTCCTCCCCCTGATTCTCATGGTGGTCGTGAATTTGAAAATTCTCATCTTGAGTATTCTCATCAGGGGCCGAACTTGAAATGCACACCAAGTGTTTGAGATTTTTCTGGAAAGCATTTCGGGCGTTGATTTCTCTGCTGCATCGTTCTCGCCGGTTGTGATCTCTCAGAACACAACCGAAAGGCGCAGAGGAAGTGATTTCTACCTGCGAAGACGCCATTTTTTTCGAAAATCTAATACGGAATTGCGAAATCAATGGTTTCTCAAAGAATTCATTTGAAGATAAGGAAAGAAGAGACAGAAAACATATCAATACAATCGATCCCGACATTCATCACAGACCCACATCTCTTTTTCTCTATATATCTAGAATTTGAAAAAAAAATCTGAACTTTCTTAGAAGAAAAATGAACAAGAAGAGGTGAATCAATGGTTTTCAAATTAATACCTATATTTACAGAGAGAGAGAGAGAGAGAAGATGAATGGTGGAGGATTTGTGGATGAGAATTGCAGAGGTAATGTGTTGGTGACACAGTAAAATGAAAGGCAAAATTGGAGATTCCGAAGGAGAGGGAAGCGAAGGAGTGAGATGGCGGTGAACTGTGTGATTGACGATGAGAAGAGTTGGGTGGTTTGAGAGTTTGGTGAGAGAGAGAGAGAGAGAGAGAGAGAGACGTTGGATTTGAACCGTTGAGGATGTAGGGACATTGTTGATTATACTAAGTTTGGCGGTGAAGCAAAACCCAATGAACATTTTTGACAGCCTTTTTGACATAGAGAAAAAGATGAAAATATAAGCTTGGGAGCCTGCCTATGGTCAAAAAGAAGTAAAAAATAAAGGAAAAGGAATAAGGTGTTGGAAATCCTGACACTCATGTTTTGCTTGATTTTTGAACTGAAAAGTGTTTGGGAGGGCGAATTTGTGTGGCTAATAGTTTAAATGTGTCAAAATAATATTATTTTGAGTAATTCGAGTTATGAAATTTTGAATCACCTAATATTGTTATTTTGAAATGGAAAAATTATTAGATGATCTCGAGCATTACGTGTTTGTGTTTTTTCATCTATCATCATTTAATGTTTGTTTGGTATGTATTAAAAAATGTATTGTATATATATGAAAAATGAGTGACACTCCTTTTTTTGGAGAATCCCACAACCTCCATAGTGATCCACGCCATTCATGATGTATGGGGCCCACTCATATATGTGTGGGGTCCAATGATGTGGATTATGGGGGTTGTGGGGTTCTCCAAAAAGGGGTCTCTATCATTACTCAAATAGGAGCACTAATAGCTTTAAAGTGGTGTGGGTCCCACATGATGGGATGTTTTGCTCTTGTGGAGCTGTTGCAGAGCTCTAAGTAGTGCTTCTGCAGTACAGCTCTAATGAGTTGTCCAGTAAAAAAAAAAAAAACAGTGAAGTAAAAGATAAAAAAGGAGAAGAAAAAGACAAATTAGAGCTCAATTAGAGTTTTTTTTTAGAGGTCTAAATAATTTTTCTTTGCTCTTGTATGGTTTTTTTTTTTTTTTTTGCCTTTGAATTTCCACCTCATTGGTTGTCATTTAGTGCTCCCAAATTAGTGAGATGAATCATTGTTGATTTTTCAACTATTCAATATAAAATTATAACATCTTTTCTTTTTTGGGGTGATTTAGAAAGTTAGTTAAAAGTTGATTTTTTGATTTTTTTTTTTGTCATTTTGTGTGTAAAAATATGAGACTCAAAATAGATTAAAAGTTAAATTAACTTTTAGGTATCTTCCCAAATTACCCCTTTATCAATTATAATACTATAGATTATATGTGGTCGTATCCCAGAATATCCAGTAATCACCCTTTGAAATAAAGTAAATATAATGAAATAAAATAATTATTTTCTTAGATTCCTATAAAATTATAATTTCCTAATAATGGTTAATAATAATTTATTTGTAATATATTTTTCAATATTATAATAGAATAATTATTCTATTTAATTTTATTTTAATGAACCAAACAGAATATTTACAGTATCTTTAATGTTTAATCTTTTTATTTTTATTTTTTATAATTGAATTTAAATAAAAATTTGGTTAAAAAGTTTATATGATATATAACACTTCAACTTTTATGCTTTTTATTTTTTATTTTTTGTAAATAAAATCTTTTTGAAAATTTTCAAACTTATCTTTAAAATATGTGTTAATCATTTTTTTTCTATGAAGAAAATAATTTCCAATCTTTATTGTATTTAAATTTCTATCAAATTAAAATATTAATATGATTGTTGAAAATTTGGTGAGAGAATTAGTTCATTTTGTATTTAAAAAAAAATTCTCCTTCATAATTTGATACAACCTTGATGAAATGGTTGGGATATACTTCTAACTATTTTTTTTTATAAATTTAAATTTGATAAAAAAAGGTTTTTTTATTGATAAATCTCATTTAGAGGTGTTTTAACCCGATAAATCCACCAAGAAAAATTATAACGTATTTAGTCCCATGTATTTGTACTTTTATTCCATGGGATCTTTCTTTTTCCTGATTTATATTGTTTGTTGAATTATTATACCCTTATGTCTATTGTTGATATGTATTATATAAAAAAAGGATATACACATTTCCTTTTTGTTGCTACTTCTATTGTGGTAGTTACCATTATTCACGTTTTTTTTTTTGATCAGTTTCATTTACATTTGTGATATTGTTTCATTGTGCTAGGATTTTAAAACTCTTTATTTGTTAGGGTTTAGAAACTCTAGTTTACACATGGTAGTAAAATCGTTACAGTGAAACTTTGTGTTCCTCTATTGTCACTTTGTGTTCAAAATTTTGTGTTCGTCCATTGCTGCTCTATGTTCAAAACTCTATGTTTCTCCATTGTTGTAAATCGAAACTCTGTTTATGTCTAGTCAATTTTGTTACAAATATATTCTTCAAAGGTGGGTTTGGTTTGATTTGGATTGATGGAATGATGAAATTGCATAGATTTGTTAATGATAGTGATAATTGTGGATGTTGATTTTTGACCACATAACCAAACGGGGAACTCAGCTGGAGAGTACCGGAAGAATAGATTAAGTCTAACAACCTGCACAAGAAGATGAGAATATGGTGGTGATTCGTCCACCCGGGGGCACTCTGACGATCAAGTCAGTAATCAATATCTCTCAAAGATAGCAAAGAGTACTAAAAACTAACTAGAAAAGAACTTACCTTAGATCCACGATGGCGTCTTGCTTTTATAACCAACAGTGACCTGATTCTTTTAGAAGCCTCACTTTAGTGGATTCAGACTCAATGCTTATCCTAGACTCTCGGCTAGATAGGGATAAACTCTTCATGAGCCTTATTCTTGTCCTAACTGAGACCCTCCTCTATTCTAGGACTCTTGTCCCTTATCCACTTATCTCGGATTCCGATATCTCCGCAAATAACCTCGGCCTATCTGAGATCATCTCGGCAACATGACCAGGCCACATGGCACCTCGGCTGACACTTCGGCGTCACCTCAAAATATTTGCCCCCTAGGTACAACTACTCCCTAGGTTCTATTACCTCAGTAACCTGAGGTGATGGAACCTACATCGTTTGTCCACATAACATGTCGGCTAACATTCCATTCATCTCTCCGACCAAGAGCATGACTCGTCGGCTTCAAGTAACCAAGACTCTATTGCCCATTCTATCAAGGACCAAGAACCAAGAATCAAGTTCTTTAAGCATCTCAACTGAAATCGCTCCTCTAGCCAAGGTTATGGCCTCAGTACTTCAAGAATTTCAAGAGTTCTAATTGCGCATGAGCTGTCATGCACAGTATTTTCAACCGTTTCCTCCACGTGTCCCTTCCTCATTGGTTTATACCTGGCATGTGCCATCAAGTCACGTCGATTCAATCCACGCCGCCTGACAGGCACTATCAATTCATTTTTGCTGCATTTTTGTGTTTTTGACAAAACTCCTTCTCTCTTTCTGTCTTCTCACTTTTCATTCTTGCATTTCTCTCTCTTGTGCTTAAATTTTCGCTTTCTAGATTCTGCCATTTTCATACCTTCGAAGCTCTGCACTTGTTTTGATTACCTCCTTTGGCAATCTTTTCATCATCTGTTTTCGACCATTCACGTCGTCTGACTCCAGCGATCTTCATCCTGGCGTTTGTTTCTTCGGTAAGTCATTAATTTCTTATTTCTTTCTAGTTAGTCTTGTACTGTTTTACATATGTTTTTTCTCTGAACTCACTGTATGCTCTTTTTACTGCATTCGTTGTTATTGAATCTTGTATTCACAGCTCAATTTCTCAAATCTGCTTTGAATTTTGAAGTTTATCACTATGTCTCTCGACTATCAATTGCGTTTGTTTGTGATTCGTACACATTGCCTTCACACACTCACTCAATGTCTTATGGATTTGTAATTCCTTGGATCGCCATTCGTATTACTAATCACATCCTTGGCATATTGTATTGGTTATATTTAAATGCCTAGCACTGATCTTGCCATATCTGAGTTTTTTTCTCCTTCATGTGATTCTTGAGTTTTGCCTCTGATTCCTTCTTGGTGCCTTTTCTGTTTTCTCTTGTCTGTTTTTCAGATTCTTGGCCTTTGATTCTCGTTTATGTAGATTTAGGTTTGGGATTTGATAGAAATCACATTATTAGGAAAATTGAAACAAATTCCCTATAAATCTTCAAAACCCTTGCCCCAGTGCCTGTTTAGGGTTTAGCCGAGGTCTTTAAACCTATCAATCACTCTTTTCTGAAATCTTATACCAACTTCATTAAACCGACATCATGGGTATGTTTAGGTGAAGGGTAGACACCCTGGCCAACCTCCAAAACTCCAACAAGGGTGCTGGAGATGATTACTTGATTGTCTCGGGCAACTGAGAGTTTGCACCTGATGATGATCTTGATCTCTTTCCTCTGCGCCGAGCAGTATTTAAAGAGGGTGATGGTAAGAACTGAGTCATCTCATTGCTAGTTCATCTATCTGTACTAATATCTTCTTTTTGTTTATTTTTTACAACTCTTCCCCAGCCATCAAAGGATTTCCGCCAAACTTTCCTTTCCAGCCTTGATCTGAAAAGGCTTCTAGGTTTGGATATTGATAAGAGCAAAGCCCCTTTGCTGCTTGATTATATCCCAACTTACAAGTCCGCTTTGCCCGACGTTCTCCGTCGAAGTAAGACTCCCCCATCAGCATCCACCCCACCAGTTGCTTCATCGCCAAGGCCAGACCAGGCCTCTTCTTTAGATCTAGTTCACCTCTGCCCCCCAACTTATCCTAACATCCCAGCGCCGATGCCGACGTTGTGCCCTAACAAACGCACCAGCTAGTAAAACTCAAAGTCGCAGACGCCGAGAATCAGAGACATTGGCCTACGATCCAGCTAACCCTCCTATGGCCCTTCTTATTATCCACTTCGACACCAAGGTTACTGTCGCTGCCACTGCCGAAGACATGGGTCACAGTAAAGCCGTTGTGGAAGACCTCCTGGCATACTTGCCAGGAGTGGTTTCAGTTCAATCTTCTCCGTCCTAATCTCAACCCACTTCAAAACCAAAACGAGTAAAACGAGCCAAGGTAAAGGCTACAGTAACTCAAATTCCTACTGACCTAGAGGACACGGTGTCAATCTCCAAATTGGCCGAGGCTGAGAAGAGCTCAATCGCTGTCGAGAAATGGCCTACCGAAGCTAAGCCATCCGACAA